CGGTCGCCATATCACCCTGGGGTCACAAAGTAGCCAAGGGAGCAGACAAACCGGTCCTTAGGAGCTGCCAGAAAGAAGGAAGCTTGGATGGAGAAGGCAGACTTGTGCTCAGGGGATGGAAAAGGAGAAGGGAAGGCACTATCCCCTCCCTTTACCCTCGTGACAATCCAGAGTTGATCTTTTTCCCAATTCACTTTATTCTGTCCTTCATTTACCTAAAGGATATATACTATGGACTTTCTATATCCTAGGCCCCATGCTGGGGTACTGAAGGCACAAAGTAAGAAATACATATGCTCTGCCCTCAACGAGTTCACCATTGTTGTGAGGAAAAGAGAGACATTAGTAGAAAATTTTAGTGTAGCGTGCATATAACAAAACTGGTAGATACTGTACAAGGAATAGCAGGACCTCAGAAGAGGAATTGAAAGATTCCGCCTTTGGGGGCTGAGGGCAGTAGTGACAGAAGAGTTCAGTTTGCATCTGGTCTTGAGGAATAGGTAGGATCTTACCACCAAGACAAGAAGAGAGGAGGAACAATAGGAGAGAGAGAGAGAGAGAGAGAACATCATGATGCTTTGGGAGACAATGGAGTGTGAAAGGCTACGTAGGTAGGTAGGGTCAGATTTTATATGCCATGCTAAAGAGCCCTTTATTTTGTGGACAGTGAAAAATCTTAAGCGGGGAGAGGCATGATCTCATTTGTGTTTTGTAAAAGTCTGATGGATTATAGGCACAAAGGACTGGAGATTGAGACTATGTTCTAGCCTAGAAAAGATAAGAACCTTACCAAGACAGTGGCCATGAGGTCAAGGAGATGTGTGGAGGGATTGGTTACCAGTTGGTTGTGTTGGATAAGCATTGTTTGTTCTTGTTGCTTTAATTCTTTTAGGGAGAGCTAGAGTGAGTACAGGCAGGGGAGAGAGAGAGAGAGAGAGAGTGAGAGAGAGTGAGAGAGTGAGTCCTAAGCAGGCTCCACACTCAGCATAGAGCCCGACACAGGGCTTGATCCCAAACCGTGGAATCACGACCTGAGCCAAAATCAAGAGTCAGATGCCCACCCAAGGTGCCCCTTGGGTGGGCATTGTCGATGGCAGAAATACGGCAGAACTGAATTCTATTCCTAATTGTCTGTAGGGACAAACAAGACCTACAAGAGGATGCACTCTTTTAGGACTCTTCTTTTTAACGTTTTTCACAGAGGTGGTTTTATACATTTGAAGGAACTTTGTGATCACTGTTGTAAGACATTCTCTTCAAAAAGAGAAAATCTAACATTCTAGTAGTATATTTCAGGGCTTCTGCCATTCATTATCACGTAGGATTGCTGCAAACACAGGAGGATTTATTTTTCTTTTAGTTCATTTTGCAGCTTCCGTTTGCAAAACTTTTGTGTTGGTGATACAGAATATGTGCTATTAAGTAACACCAAAAACAACACAGGAGGAGAAATCTCTTGTTTTCAGTGCTTGACTACAATTGTTTTTCAAGAGGTACTAAAAGTTTGAGGAAAGTCCAGATTTCTTATTTTTAGCATCATTTCTGGTGAATTCTCCTCCCTTATGTTTACATAAGTGATGGTGGAACCATCTGGAAATGATAGAAGTAGCTGTTTGTGGGGAAGGGGGAAAGCAGCAGAGTTACACCCTATGTGTTGCTTTAGTTTCTCCAGTTTAATAGCTTGCTGTCTGTAAATCGCAGAAGTCGCATGAAAGGTTGTGACCTTTGCCTGTATGTTTGAAATATGAAGTTCATGGACCTTGATTTGAATATACCTGTTTCTTCCAGCCACCCTTCTAGAAAATGCTTAAATATTAATGTAGCATTGAAGGAAAGATTTTTTTTAATATCATCTTTATATTTCAAGCTTCCTGGTTCAAGAATATCCACGAAAGCAACTGTTTCTAGTAATCAGTCGATACTTCCTGAGAAAGAGTAGAAGATTCTTGCATTCTCCTGAAACCTGTAAAACCCTTGAGCTAAAAAAAATATCGTAGAGGACTATAACTTACTTTTTATATGAGAGAGATACTTGGCAGGTTGGGGAGAGGGGGTGTCGCATGGTGTAGCAATGAGAGAAATTGGAAAATGAAAAGGTCTGACTGTGTGACTTTGACAAGTTCTTTCTGAAAGAACTTCAGTTTCAAAAGTACAAGGGCTGTGCTTGACGATCTCAAATTGTCCCACTGAATCACTCTGATTCTGGGGTGGGATTCTTTACAGAGCCTGTCTGTTTGGAAATAGAGCATCTGACTAACTTAATTAACCGTTCTGTCCAGTGCAGACTTTGGGAGGTCAGCTTATTGTGAAGTGCCCAGGGTGTTTTCTTTGGGACAGCCGTTGACAAGGTAATGGAAGCGTCAGGGTTACTTTATCCACAGATGTCTAAATAATTTTTATAATTTACTGTATCCTTCTGCTACCACCCAGTGTGCAAAGGTCACCTTTGAGCAACCCTTCATCAGATGGTGTGGAGGGTACTAGAAGTCATTTGGTTGACCTTCCTTTCTGATCAGCACGGCGACTCCTTTGTTGCCTAAGTGATCAACACCGAGTTGTCACCACCGTAGCAGACTGAGCTTACTTGGATACCAGGAGGAATTTTTATTTACCCTATTCTCTGTTAGTTGTAGGTAAATTTCTGTCCTCTGTTAGTTGTAGGTAAATTTCCTAGCCGTTTTTATGAAAATCATGGTAGTTCAACTCTTTTCTGCCAACAGAGTCTCAGCCAGTCTCTCTTTTTACGGAACTTACTTTCATCATTAGAAGAGGAACGAGTTAGGCCCAGGATATGTTCTCTTAGGGTTGACTGCTTTCTAGGATCCTGTTTAGACAACTGAGCATAAAGACTATATTACATCTCACCCTGAAAATGCATGGAATCGTGGTTTGGGATTATAGATACCATCATTAGTATCAGTAAGGGAGATGGTTGCTCTTTCATCTGAGTCACTGCTGGACGCTTCAGAAACTGTGCTTGGAAACATTTATGCTCCGAAGCCTATTCTTGTGCTCCAGCATTAATTCCACATCCAACTTGCAGCCCCCTGTGAAGGTGCCTGCCGAGCCCACTGGCGCTGGAAAGGTGGGCGCTGGGCAGCAGTCAGTCCTGGAGAGGACAGCAGAAGGCATCCGGTACAGGCCTGCATCCCACCCTCTTACTTCACAACTCCCTAGTTGTGGCCCGTGCTGGGGACATGACGTATTTACATGTGGCTCACTGGTGGCACAGCTAGGTCTGCGCTCCTAAGACGTGACTTTGAAACTGGATTGGAGAAAATGGCTAGGGGGTCTACAAATCACACCGTGGTTCTTCCCCTCTCTTCTGCGCTCTGGGAGCACCAGGCCTTATCATAGGCTCCGTTGGTCTTTTCAGGCACCCCGGCAAGAATGTGGAGTTTGGGGATGATGGGGTGGGAGGGGTGAAAGAGGCAGAGCTGGGACCTTTGTGTCACTGAGATGCTCAGGAGCCCTGAGAATATGACATGAGTGTCCCTGACTTGGGGTGGAGCTTCGCCTCCAGGGATTGTCCCTGTGGCTCAGGAGGGAACCGGGGCTGTCTGTGTGCTGCCAAAAGGCAAACAGGAACAGCGGGGCCTGAGGCTCTGGAAGCTGCCTCTGTCTTGTGACCTGGCGCCAGGGGAGGCTGTCTGCCTGGCCCGTTATGTGGAGTCACAAGACTTTGAGGTACAGTTTTACAAAAGCAGGTTCTCTTCTCTCCTGTCAGACCTCATACTCAAGGCATGTTTCCCATTGTCTGTTGGGCAACTCTGGACGGCGGGCCCTGATTGTGATTTGGGGGCCGTCCCAGTAATAATAGCCTTATCTCTGTCACTGAGCAACTAAAGAGGCTGCAAACCCACTTACAGGAATGGTTTTAAAAATCTTGAAGATAGTGGAAAAGCCCTGGAAAGAATGTGGAATAAAGCATACTTACTCTGCCACAGAAAAAAAACAGATTGTTTGGGGTCCTGCCTGTCCTCTCATTTAAAAAAAAAAAAAATTCTCAGTAGGTTGCCAGGCACAGCTGAATAGCCAAAGAAATTGTGGTTTTGAGCTGTTCACTATTTCTAGAAACTTTACAAAGTTAATTCCAAAGCAACAGGGTGGAGACCAAAAAAGGAAGAACACTATTTTATGGTGCTTTTAGCAAAGGTGAAATATTTGCCTCGGGCTCAGGGCAGTCCAGCTCTGGGGGAATGGCTGGTGCGAGGCATCCAACTCCTGGCGGCTGGGACAGGATGTGATCGTTGCAGGAGGTGCTGACACGCCATTCCTTTCTCCTCCTGGCCGCTTCTCCATCCTCCTCTCATTGAAGCCGACAAGTATTTCTTGAGCTCCCGGTATACGTGCAGACCACCAGGTTAAGTCCTGACCGCATCCCTCTTTCGAACTCGTTTTTGTTGTCCATCAGTCTTCTGAGTGAACTTCCTCTTCCTTCAGTTGGCCTTCACTCCCAAGTGGTAGCTCATTTTATCTTTCGGATCTTTTTCCTTTTTCCTTTAGAAAACATTCTTTTCGTTTTTTTTTGTTAAAACTTAGGATCCTGGTGTTGGTTTCAGGGTTGAAAAAAACATTTCTGAGGCAACATGGAGCCCTCCTGCATTCTGTACCACAAGGAGCACGAGAGAAATTGTAGCGGTAATCCAACATGAATTTCTATTGGATTGGGCATTATAACAGAGCATTTTCCCACAGCATAACTACCCCCTGATGACACTTTATAAAGATTAACATATACTACCCCACACCAGGTCGGGGGTGGCCTCGAAGAACTTTGGGATATAGAAAATCCATCACGAGAATAAATCCAGTGACTGGGTCCTGGTCATAAACCTGCCACTAACTAGTATGTGACCTCTCTTATTTAGCCACACCTCCCCACTTCCCTGACGATCTCTAAAGACTTCTACAGTTCTGACCCTTATCGATCTTTGCATAATTACTTATGGATCTATGATAATTACACCAGGCAATGACATGTTCTCTTTTCCCTCCAGAGTGAAAGCCGCCCAGACTGAGTTAGGACAGCAAATCCTGGCCGATTTTGAAGAAGCATTTCCTTCCCAGGGCACCAAGGTATTGTTTTGCATTTTCCCTCTAGTCAGACATAATCACCATTCTTGCCTGATTCACACTCGCTACGGTTACTCTTCCTTTACCATTCCAAAAGTGTTGGCTGGCTGCCACGAGTCTGTTTGCTAAAGGTTCAGGGCAGTGAGACCGTCTCTGATTTTCACTCTCCCAAAGCAATGTTGATCTTCATCTGTGTTCTTCCAGCATCAAAAAGTGAGGATTTATTTTGGTTTAATTTAATGTGTGTCAAACCCAATATCTCGTCTGCCCAGTAAATTCCTTTTTTCTCATGGCTGTGTTAAAAAAAAGAAAAAAATCTTCAAGCCGCAGTGTTTTTTAGGATCGTTACATAACTTGCTGGTTTCAGTTTGGTGAAAAGACAGCTGGGAGGAGCATCCGCAGGCTTATGTAACTCTGAGGGACACAGTTAGGAGATTCACTTTTAATGATCAGAATCCCGTTCTTTCAGATTAATCCCGTTAGCTCTCGCTGGTGGCATGGCTGTTTGTGTTGTGTCTGCGGAGCCCGCAGTATTTCGCTCGTGAGCTATGGTTACACTTCTCCCATAACAAGCCTTGCCTCACTTGGCTGTCATTGTGCTTGGGTAACTGCTTTTAGCTCTATCTTTCAGACTGTAGCAGATGTAATCTTAATGCTTTGCATGTGTTGGGGAGAGAAGAACCTTCAGAAGCTTGTTTTCTCTATTATTTGAGCTATTTCGGGAGAAGGAATTATTCAACACAAATGAACCAAAGCACACACAGGCAAGCAGCATTCCTCACTGCACTTGGTGGGTGGAGATGGGGATATATGTTCATTTACGGAGCCAAGGAACGTTTCCTGGACCCGCTCTATAATTCAATAACTGGAAATATCTTAATCATTTTTCTTTGTGCTCCATAAAAGAAACTTAGGAAGTAGGTGGAAGTAGCTGCCCCAGCTTTGTAGATGACTTCCTATAGGAAACCTGCTCTTGATTTTAATGTCTGCAAATATTATGGCTGCCTTCTAGTAATCAGATATTTTATTTGTAGAACATGTTCCTTTCAGGACTTTGTTTTCTTTCTTCACTTGATATAACGGTAGGATGTGGATGTTGGAAAGCAATCCTGTAAAAAGGGATTGTAAGATATTCACAACTTATAAGCACCGGACTCTTCTTAGTGTCCCAAGTCTGTTTTGCTATATGCTCTGCTATCTAGCCCAGTTTCCAGAAGTTTCAGAAAGATGAATGAAGACCAGCTTTATTATTTAGAAGAAACTATCATGACCTACTTTATGTCTTTTTCTCAACCCCACATGAAGTTCAAATGATTTTCTTTAACAACTTGCTTCCTTTTTCTGCAGCTGGGTAACTTAGTTTTTCTAAGTTTTCTTTTTTCCTTTTCAATGGCTGTTGACTTTTCTTAAAGGCCTTGTGTTGCTATTTCTACTTCACAAATAGAAATTGAGATTTTTTTTTAACTGTAAGTTTGTTTATTTTGAGAGAGAGAGAGAGAGAGAGAGAGAGAAAATACAAGTGGGGGAGGGGCAGAGAGACAGAGGGTACAGAGGGAGAGAGAATGCAGGCAGGGAAGGGGCAGAGAGAGAATCCAAGCAGGCTCTGCCCTGTCAGCACAGTGCCTGACGCGGGGCTCGAACCCATGAACCATGAGATCAAGACCTGAGCCGAAATCAAGTCAGATGTTTAATGGACTGAGCCACCCAGGCGCCCCAACACTTACAAAACTCTTGAACTTCAGTTGAGATAGATACACTGGACAGAGTTTACCCAAAAAAAATCATGAAGATTTGGAAGAACGTCAGCCATCGCCTAATTGAAGTCCATTTTTTTCATTCATTTTTCAGATGAGTTTCAGTAACTGTGCCAAAGCTACACAGCTGTTTAGCCAAGCCAAGAGTAGATTCCAAGTGTTCTTTTTGCTATAGTTCACTCAGCCAACCATGTTCATTCAGTGAGCTACTATAAAGAAAACTTCAGCATGTCAAATTGCTTTCAGTAAGAACAAAGGCCTTCCCACCATGGTGTATGAGTGTGGCTCCTCGATAGCCCTTCTCTTGCTTTTCAGATCAAAAGGCCCAAACCATAATATTTACCTTTGGTTACCTGTCTGAGTAGTTGACTGTCAGCAAAACAAGTCTGGTGGTTTGGAACCTGGTTTTAGATTTTAAATGCTACTGCACTGTTTGGCACAAATAAAGCACCTGGGAACAGGAATCTGAGGTTGGAATCAAGGGGATGTGGCACACGTCGAGTGAGACTGGTGTCATTCTGAATTTTAAAGCTTTTCAGCAAGGTGCGGCGCCTGGGTGGCTCAGTCACTTAAGCGTCCAACTCCAGCTCAGGCATGATCTCTCAGTCCGTGGGGTCGAACCCCGTATCAGACTCTGTGCTGACAGCTCAGAGCCTGGATGAAGCCTGCTTTGGATTCTGTGTCTCCCTCTCTCTCTGCCCCTCTCCCACTTGTGTTCTCTCTCTCTCTCTTTCTCTCAAAAAACATTTAAAAAAAAAAATGTAAAGCTCTTCAGCAAGGTGATTTCAGTTTTTGCATTCAGAAAGCAGAATTTCCTGTGACCATTGCTGACCCTGTTTCCAAAATGTCTCCTTGCTGATTCACAGAGTAGCTTTTATATGGGCTACTACAGACTAGCTTAACAATTCTTTCATCGAGTAACAAGTAACTAAAATATCCATCCACTTCGCAGAAGACTTAAGTGTGGAAGCAATAATAACTTCAAGAGAGGAATAAAAAGTAGCAGCTGTCAGAGGCCATGAGATTTAAAGGTTGTTTCTGGCCCTTGAACTGGTGTGCGTTGTTTGTCTTACCAGAGGCCAGGAGGACCCAGCAACGTCCTACGAGATGCGTGTCTGGTTGCTAATATTTTGGACCCTAGAATCAAACAGGAAATCATCAAAAAGTTTATTAAACAGCATCTGTCAGAATATCTAGTACTTTTTCAAGAAAACCAAGATGTAAGTATTACCCAAGTGAAATCAGATGTTACATTTGAATTTTATTGAAAATTAAATGCTCTGCTGATTTATATGTTGTTAGTATTACTGCCTTAAAACGTTGATGGTTGAACTGTGAGGGGCTGACTGGACAGACGTCTCTGACTCTTTGGAGAAATTAATGGGAGCTACAGATCCTCTCACCAGAAAAATGCACCCATGCATAAAACTGTACATGCAGTTTCAGGAAATTTACAGACACCTGAAGTCTGATCGTAGACCAAGTTAAGTACCTCTGGATCAAGTGAAAAAGAAGCCTAGATTCTTTAAAACTGTGAGAAATAAAGAGACTGGTTTTGTTTTTCTTGGTTCTGTGTTTCTGCTTGTTTCCTTAAACTGTCAACACTGCTTCTAAGCACGGGGTGGCTTTTGTTCCCTCCCTTCCTAATAAGGTTGCCTGGCTGGACAAAATCGACAGACGCTATGCCTGGATAAAACGCCAGCTCGTGGACTATGAGGAGAAATATGGCCGTATGTTTCCACGTGAGTGGTACATGACCGAGAGGATTGCAGTAGAATTTTGCCACGTCACAAGGTAGATTCTGTTTTTAGGCTGGTTTTACTGTTAATTGAAATCAATTGAAATTGGTCGATTGAAATCAATCCCCTGGTCTCTAGGGGCTCCGTGTTGCCTCGTGCATCGGGTGCCACTTCCACCTTTTGTTGTTGTCGTTTGAAAGTCACCATTTTTTTTAAACATTTATTGATTTCTGAGAGACGGAGAGAGACAGAGCACAAGTGGGGGAGGGGCAGAGAGAGAATGAGACCGAGAATCCGAAGCAGGCTCCGGGCTCTGAGCTGTCAGCACAGAGCCCGATGCGGGGCTCGAACTCACAAACCATGAGATCATGACCTGAGCCAACGTCGGACGCTTTAACCGCCTGAGCCACCCACGCGCCACTGAAAGCTACCATTTTAATGAGAACTTTTCCTGTGCTGAACTCTCTCCCTTTAGGAGACCCTTTTCCTGTTGAAAGTCAGATTTTATATACCCAAAACCAACCCCTAAACTCCAGCCGTGGCTGTATTTCAACTTCTTCAACTTCAGAGTTCCAATCCGAGAGGAGAGAGAATGTATGTTTTTTTTTTTCTAGAAAAAAAAGGGAAGAGGAGTACATGAGAGCCCTGGGCTAGTAGCCTGTAGCCAAAGCATTCGTTTTTCCCCTCACGAGTAATTTATGTATAACACAGCAGCTGCATCTGCTCCCGTCTTTGCTCTAGCGCTTTCCTTTGGCCTAACCCTTGCCTCGAACACTCTGCCTTTTCTAGTTAACCTGCTTAAGGCTCATCAACCAGATTTCCCTGTGTTACTCATCACCCCACATTTTCTCCTGTGTCTCCATCACATATATCAGCATACAGTGTATATATCCGTCATCATTTTGCTTTTCTGACTTGCTACATAGGTAGCTCTGTAGGGTCAGGGCTAGTGTCTACCTCATTGACATAGTAGACACTCAGGAAATATTTGTTGAACAAATTTCCTGCCCTTAATAGTGTTTTTATAGTTTTTGGATAGTTCATAGTATCAGCATCTGAATGTTCTAAGCATTCTAAAGACCTTCTCTCATTCATCCTGTCTGCAGTTTCTATGAATGTCACCCAGGGCCAGATAGCTCATTTATATTGATGAATTAAAACCCAAGAAAGTTAGATCTGTGTGTCCATGAGAAAGCTAAAACTGTAGTCAAAATTTTTTATTCTGTATTTGCAGCTATACCACAACAGTGTTACCACCCGGTAACTGGGTTTTATTAATTATCTATGCCCTTCTCGCAGTGCACAATTACATTAATTCCAGGCTAATTAAAAAAAAAAAAAAAAGTCTCATGTCTAAGCATAACTCAACCTTTAGAATAATTCATGGTAGGCATCTTTCTTAAAATCATAGAGTACAATTAAGTTGTATGCTTAATTAAGTTGTGTTTAAACACAGTGGGGGGATTTCTTAAGGGATTTTGCCTGTTGATTTCAGTTTTTTTAATAGACTTTATTTTTTCAGAGTAATTTTAGGATCACAGCAAAATTGAGAGGAAGATATGGAGGTTTCTGATATGCTCCTGCCCCTGCATAGCCCCCCTGCTACCCGTATCCCCCACCAAAATGTGCATTTGTTAGAATGGATGGACCTGCATTGACACATCCTCACCACCCAGAGCCCACAGTTTACCTTAGGGTTCCCTCCAGGTGTTGTACGTTCTATGTGGCTGCTGTTTTCAGAAGCACATTTGCAGTCATAGGTTTAGATAACCTTTCAATGTTGATTTAAGGACACTTGTGGTTGTCACTTTCTACGTCCTGGTTAGCCAAGAAAGCGAATTCCTTGAGAAATTGGTGACTGATTCTCTGCAGCATCCAGTTCAGTGACTTTTGCACACTAACTCTGAAAAGTGAAGCCTGCAGGAAACTGGGAGTGAGCTAACGCCACAAATCCGTTGTAGCAGCTAATGCCGGTGCTGCTGCTGCTGCTGCTGCCAGGCTTTCATTGTTGGAATTTTGGCCACCGTCCTACAGACACATAATTCTCAAGTAATCTCAGAGGCTCTTTGTTTCATCTTGCCATTTATTTGTATGGGAAGATGATCATAGCCCAGTACTTACTAAGAGCTCTCAGGTAACTGCTCCCTTGCGGCTCCCATCCTGAAACCGCACTGGAGTGGTACAGAAGCTTCGCAGGTGGGAACCACCGAAGCGTGGACACGTCACTATTCACACGGGGGTTCTGGTCTCTCACGTGTGTTTCCAGGGTTCCTGCTCTCTCGTTGGAGTGATGGTTATTGAGCTGTTTGGAAGAGGGAGCTTTGTGATTCAGTAATTGACAGCTTGTGCCATTGTGTAAAATGCATGCGTTTTTATAAAATACTGAGTAAGTGCTTTGTGGATATTATTAACAAATTATGGAAAGATAGAAAAATCAGAGTGACCGTATAACCAAATCAATCTCCTTAAATCCTTGATTTATTTTTTGACTAGTGGATAATTTTACCTTAAAATTCTTATTTAGAATATGTATTTCTGCTCCCCAAGCATTAAACTTAGTTCGTGACAGACCTCAGGATTTGAAATGACCACATGCTTTCTGTTTTTTTAATATAAGCTACAGCCATTTACTTTACCCTATCTTGAATGATCAGTTCTTCTGACAGCGTTTATCTCTTTGTTTTGAAGGACAGAACTCGCCAAGATTATGCGTACCAGAGCCAAGGAAATTGAAGTGAAATTGCTTCTTTTTGCTATTCAGAGAACAACTAACTTTGAGGGGTTTCTTGCAAAACGCTTCTCCGGGTGCACCCTGACAGATGGAGCTCTGGTAGGACCTTCCTGAGGGAGGCTGGGACATGAAGTCAGGGTGTGCGTGCTTGGGCTTCATGTTAGTCTTTAATCCGGTGGTTCCAGCCAGTGGCTCGAGTGCTCAATCCCCCAGTCCAGATATTTCGCTCAACTCGTGTGAGTGGTGACACAGAGTACTCTGTGGGTTTACTGTTTCCTATTGTGCGATACTTCACGTCTTTAGAATGTTCTGTCATCATTTTACGATGTTTTGCTCCATTTTACAGACTAGTAATTTTGTGAGTCATAGAGGCCTCACTTATTCACTCACAAATACCGTATTACTCTATCAACTGTTGAGTTTTATTACAATTAGGGTATGTTTTTACTTTAGAGTTCGTTTTCTTTTTTTCTTTTTTAAATGTTTATTTACTTTTGAGAGAGAAAGAGACAGAGTGTGAGCAAGGAGGGGCAAAGAGAGAGAGGGAGACACAGAATCTGAAGCAGGCTCCAGGCTCCGAGCTGGCACAGAGCCCCGTGCGAGGCCTGAACTCATGAACTGCAAGACCGTGACCTGAGCTAAAGTCAGATGCTTAACCGACTGAGCCACCCAGGCACCCGTAGACTTTGTTTTCTTAATGTCTCTGGTGAGCAAACCAGGTCAGTGTGTCCCTGTAAACCTCAAAGCCAAGCGTACAAACCCACATGTCAGGGAACTACTAAATGATAAAAACACAAAAGTATGCATGCAGGCCTGAGGCCCGTGCACCTCCATGAGGAAGGCGGAATGTAGTGTTGTTAGTTAACATCGCTTAGTGCCTGTGTAACCAGACACCAGCTCCAAAGCGTCTCTCTAAAAACTGTTTTTGGAAACCCAGCCTCCTTGCCAACACATCAGTGTGCTTTCTTCAGATTTCCTATCCATGAGGAAACCAAATTTTTATGTTTTATGTAATTTCTGTTCTCATCGTCACATACACGCACACACACACACAGACTTTGAGCTTCTTGCATTCAGGAACCATGGTTGATTCATTTCTGTTCCCTGTCATGCAAAAAATACACAGACCTTGTGCAGGCAGGCAGGAGTGAGGAGGGAAGGACAAAAGGAGGGAGGGAGGAAGAAATCAAAGTTGAAAACTGGTAACAACAGAGAACTGATGTGACTTGGTAGGAAAACCCTTGGACCAACAAGTCAAGAGATACTTGTGATCCAGTCCAGACTCTGCTAGAATTCAGTGAACTGCCTTCTCTGTTAAACGAAAAGCAGAAACTATCCTTCAGTAGCATTGTGCTAGGGGAAACAAGACATCAAACCCAGAAGCCACAAAGAAAAGTACTAAAAGATTTCACGACATAAAAAGAATGGAAGAGACCATTAACTTAACTAATGGATAAACAAGAAAGTAGGAAATAAAAATACAGTTTAAGCTATAAGACAAAGGCTTAATATCCAACATAAAAGAATTCTTCAAAATCAGTAAGAAAATGGCAAGTAACCAATTAGAAAAATGAGTACAGAGCCTAGCAAGAAATTCACTGAAGAAATAGTTGGCCAGTAAACTTGAAAAAAAATAGAAGAGGATACAAATGTTCTTACATCAGGTTGGCAGAAATGTTACAAGACTAACAATACAGTGGCCAGTATGCAAGTACGTGCAGCCTTTCTGGAGACCAAGTCGTCATTATGTAATCAAAACTTTAAATGCGCATGCCCTGTGTGGCAACAGCTTAACATCTAGATAGGAGGTCTATAAAAAAATCTGTACATGTATCAGAAGATGTACCAAGAAAGAGGTGAACTGCAGCCTTAAAAGGGGGAAAAAAAGTGGAGGTTTCTATGTTTATCATTGAAAAATGATTACATAAAATATAATATAGCCATAATGTGGAACAGCGGTAGAATGGGGTCTCGATCTAGATGTGCTGTCATAGAAAAGAAACCCCTCACATACATTGTCAAGTGGAAAATGTAAGCTGTAGCCCAGTACATATGGTGTAATTCCTCTTGATGTAAAAAACAAAAAGCATGCTTATGTATGTAAACGTGTAAGAAAAAGGTCTAGAAGTGACAACAGTGGCTGTCTCTGGGGAAGGAAGTTGGAGACGGTGGAGAGGTCCCAACATGGGACTTGAACTTACAACCCCAAGATCAAGAGTCGCACGCTCTACCAACTGAGCGAGCCAGGTGCCCCTGCAACACTCAATTTTAAGGCAAGACCATAAGGCCCTACCTACTTGGGGAAATAAAATACAAGGAACCACAGGGCACTCTTTCCATACTTAAAAAATAAAACTACATGTGTATACTCCTCTGCTTGTTACTTCATGTTCAAAATTGATTTCTTTTTAGTAGTAATGAAAAAAATAAGCCACGAAACAAATGAAAATGCCCTTAAATAAACTGCAGGTCACAAAAGGAAATAATAGGTAATAGAAATGTGACTGAAAGAAGAATGCATTTCTCTCCTGAGACCTCTTTGGTTGACCTCAGCAGCTCCTGATATTCTCTCTGCTCTCCCCAAGCCGTTTCTGGCCTGGTTTCAGACGGACACTCATCTGGCTCTGGGTTTAGCCCCACAGAGGTCTGCTTGCGCACAGGAGGCTTAAGCATTGAACACAGACCCCATCCGAGAGTGTCCCACTGTGCACCCATGGCTTCCAGCCAGGCAGGGTCAGGGGAGCCAAAGGACGGGTTTGTCCAGCTGACTACAGGAAATAGAACCCCGTGGAGGCTGCTTGAATGACACCAGTGCCACACAAACACCTGTTTTGCACCATTCTTCTCCTTCTCTGACTGGGCCCTACTTCCTGCTGGTTTTGCTTTTACATTTAGGAGGCTCTGGGATTACAGGGAAACAGATGGCCCCATTGTATCTGATGACCAGGAGAGCCTGTAAACTTGGAGCTGTCCCAGGACGTGTCACCTCTCATTCATGCTAGGAAATGCCCCACAGGTCCAAAGAGGCAGAGTAATGCGGGGGCCAGGAAGGCCCCCTTTGGACAAGGTGAGCCTAACAAACAAACAGGATAACCCTGTAGAGACCATGAAAAACCGGGAGGGGCTGTGTGAAGACCACACTTTTTTATAGAAAGTAGGTACAGGAATGCCACAGTGGCAGTTGCCCCACTGTAAGCACCTTCTTTCTGTAGGGGAGGAGAGGGCTTGGGGGTGCTTGTCTCTCGGGGCAACATGGCCTCTCTCCGCTGTCTAGGCTCCTGGGCTGCAGCCTTCTGTCTCCCTGTCTCCTGGCAGGTGCTGGGCTCTGTGGGGTTGGTCATGGTCACATGGGAATGCTCGAACCTTTTTTTTTTTTTTTAAACCAGTTTCTTCCCTTTTTTGTCTTCTATTTTGAAAACTTTCTGGCATAATTGATTTATAAATTTCTCCAATTGTTCAGTTGTTGCTTCTTCTCCTGTCAAGTTTGCAAAGAGTTTCAGGTTACAAATCCTGGGCCAGAAAGTCCTGCTGAGCTATAAGCTCTTTATTCATCCCTCTCAATGGGGTCGGCAGTTTTCTCCACAGACTTCTCCAAACCATTCAACTCCTTTGGATCAGACTCATACCCCGGACCATTCTTTGTTTCAGTTATCATGACCCAGCAACCATTCTGCATTCCAAGTCCTGACAGCGGCTGCTCCATAACCTTTAAGGATTTCCGCTTAAAGATTAGTTAGTGGAAAGGCAACAACTCCTGTGGCCTCCTCAACAAGGCAGGCCAGGTCTTAGAGAATCAGTTCATTGCAGCCCTGCCTTGGAATATGTAAATGTGCTTCTCACTGTAGGTGATGTTCACCCTGAAGTGAGCCTGAGGTGCCATCACCTTGCTGTGGCCCAAGTGGGGCCTTCACCTGTAGCCCGTAGGTCTCAATGGCAGGGCCACTGGTAGATTAGTCATGGCCGCTGACCATGCTCCCAACAGACAGTGTTGGGAAGGGGTGGCCTGGGCTAGGCTGGGCTGGGGGGTCCAAGTGGCCTGACTCCCCAGTCTAGCTGCTGGGCACCCCACCTGAAGACTTGCTGCTCCCCGTCTCCTTACACCCTCCCTGAGCTGTCTTGCTTTTTGGAAAATTTTTGTGGTTACCATTACTTCAGTGCATCAGAATAAACTACAAAGTAAACCCAGGTATATCTTGATACCCTATAACATATACCAAATTTCATAGAAAGTCAGTGAATTCCTTGCAAAGTTATGGGACAGATAAGTCAGCCAAGGAGTCAGTTGACCAAAGACCCTCCCAGGCCCACCCACCCCTCTCACTGATATTCAGACCCTGTTAAGCCCCTTGCTGACTGATTAACAATTAGGGTGAGCTATAGCGGCGATGAACTCACCTGGAAGGACCTATCACAGTCCAGTGCCTCTAACTGACCAGTGTGATAGGTCATCTTTGGCTCTTTTTTAACAGATGCCACTTTGACATCTGTTAGAGATGTCCACTGAAAGAACTTTAAGGACAGGGCTCGTCTGGTTTTAGGTACTAACCCTAACACAGTTATGGCGTCCTCTGCTGTAATTTCCTGGAGGAGGTGAGCTACCGTTGCTTTTTGCTAATTGCCTAAGCTCCTGGCCCTTAAGAGGGATTCAAAATACTCTGTAAATTAAAATGCCTTGAAATTAAAAGCAAATGTCTGGATGTGACTTAACTGTACCTACATTCTCCAAAATCTATAAAGAACTTAATCAAACTCAGCACCCAAAAAACAATCCAGTGAAGAAATGGGTAAAAGACATGAACAGACAAGAAGACATCCAGATGGCTAACAGATGCATGGAAAGATGCCCAACATCACTCATCATCAGGGAAATACAAATCAGAACCATAATGCGATACCACCTCACACCTGTCAGAATTGCTAAAATTAACAATTCAGGAAACAACAGATGTTGGCGAGGATGCAGAGAAAGGGGAACACTTGTGCACTGCTGGTGGGAATGCAAACTGGTACAGCCATTCTGGAAAACAGTACGCAGGTTCCTCAAAAAATTTAAAATAGAACTACCCAGCAATAGCACTACCAAGTATTTATCCAAGGGA